ACCTAAGCACGCAGACTGCTTCTACAAACAATTGTGAAAGAATGGGCCACTCTCAGGAGTTCAGTGAATTAAAGCGTGGTACCGTGATAGGTTGCCAGCTTGCAATAAGCCAATCCTTGAAATTACCTGGCTACTAAATATTCCACGCTCAGCTGTTAGTGGTATTATAACAGAGTGGAATCAACTGGGAACAACAGCTACTCAGCCATGAAGTGGTAGGCCACGTCACATGACAGAGCGGGGTCAGTGCATGCTGAAGCGCACAGTGCGCAGAAGTCACCAACTATCTGCAGAGTTGATAGCTAAAGACCTCCAAACTTCATGTGGCCTTCAGATTAGCACACAGTAACAGTGCGTAGAGAGAGCCTCATGGAATGGGTTTCCATGGCCGAGCAGCTGCATCCAAGCCTTCCATCACCAAGTGCAATGCAAAGCGTCAGATGCAGTGGTGGTAATCCGATGGATGTGTCTGGGTTTGGCAGTTGCCAGGAGAACAATACTTGCCTGACTGCATTGTGTCAAGTGTGAAGTTTGGTGTAGGAGGGATATGGTGTGGGGTTATTTTTCAAGGCTTGGGATTGGCTCTTTAGTTCCAGTGAAGGGAACTCTTAGGGCATCAGCACACCAAGACATTTTGGACAATTTCATGCTTCCAACTTTGTGGGAAGAGTTTGGGGATGGCCCCTTCCTGTTCCAACATCACTGCGCACCAGTGCACAAAGCAAGGTCCACAAAGACATGGATGAGTGAGTTTGGGGTGGAGGAACTTGACTGTCCTGCACAGAGTCCTGACCTCAACCCCATAGAACACCTTTGGGATAAATTAGAGTTAAGACTACAAGCCAGGCCTCTCCCCGACATCAGTGCCTGACCTCACAAAATGCACTTCTGGAAGAATGTTCAAACATTCCCATAGACACCCTCCTAAACCTTGTGGACAGCCTTCCCAGAAGAATTGAAGCTGTTATAGGTGCAAAGGGCGGGGCCAACTCAATATTGAACCCTACGGACTAAGACTGGGATGCCATTAAAGTTCATGTGCGTGTAAAAGTAGGCGTCCCAATACTTTTGGCAATATAGTGTGTGTATCAATATTTTTAATACCCATTTTCTTTTTTTTTTCAGTAGAATTAAACCAAGAATATAATAAATGCACATCTTAGCAGGTGATGTAAATCAAGCAGTTTAAATAGACCCAGTTTAGTCATTATATGAAATATCCTAAATGTGTTTTTATTAGACATGTTTACACCTTAGCGTATTGGAATTGTACTAATATTGCGCCAAAACGTATGATGCATATGTTTGGGTGCTATCCGTTCTTAATAGCACCCCAAATGTGCCAAAAAGGGTGTTTTGTTGCATGACAAAAAGTGACAAACCACGCTATCCAAAAATGCAGCAAAGTAAGCTCCAAAAAAGTCTACAAGAGCTACTTTGGCATGTTTTTGGGCAGAGGGAAGCCCATTCAATTGAATGGTGTTGCTCTAAAAATGCAACAGGAAACAGGCATAAAAAAACTGCAACACTCCAGGAATCACTAGATGTGTATGTGGCCTAAGGTATTCTCTGTTGAAAGAGTTGAGTCAGGACATGGAGACCTATGTAAGGTCCCGTTCACATTTTAGCAATGCAGGAATGTTCTGGCAGACACACTGCGGTGTCACTCAGTCTTATTGGCACTTGTTACCATGCATTCTAGTGCAAGTTATTCAACACACAGTGTGTTCATATTCTCTTATGGCTATTGATGAATATATTTAAATAACATTTTTGTGCCCAGAGTCCAGCTTTAAAGCAGACCTATCACTGACACGAGCCACTATTCCTCCCAATAACACCAACGATGGGGCACTGTTCTTCCTCCTAATGACCACAGGTGTTATGTAATTTTTTTGCTCCTGCTGATCTTCAAGCCTGAGACATTGCCTATTCCCACTGGCCATAGTCTGCCTCCTCTAAAATCTGAAGGACAGTAAACTGGGCCCTTTATTTAGAAAATGTAGAGACCCCTGCACTAGAAGCTGGAAATCACTGAAGTGGACACTGCTACTCCATTCATCTCCACTAGTTTTTGGGTGCCAGAATGGAAAGCATGCTCTGACTGGATGTGGATTGGAGGTGGAGACCTTCACCACCCTACCTCTACATCTCATCCAATTAGAAAATGCTTTGCATCCATTAAGAAAGTGCAAATCATTCTCTGAATGGTGCTCGTGCTGGGTGGATGAACTCCTATGTGCAAAATGCAGCAAGGCAACAGGAGCCAGAAGCAAGTAGAGATCACTAGATTCACCACAAATTATTATTATTATTATACAGTATTTATAAAGCGCCAATAGTTCGCTCAGCGCTGTACATTACAAAGGGGACAGAACATGTGACAGAACAATACCAATACAATGCAAAACATGAGGGAATCGAGGGCCCTGCTCTTTTGAGCTTACAATCTAGGAGGGAAGGGATGGTGGCACAGGAGGAGATAGCTGTGGGGGATGGGGTGGTAGGAAGAGTGGAGGAGGTCGGCAAGTTAGCAGGGGGTGGGGTAGGCTTCCCTGAAGAGATGGGTTTTCAGGGTGCGCCTAAAGGAGAGGAGAGTAGGTGATAATCTGATGGGTTGGGGCAGGGAGTTCCAGAGGATGGGTGACACCCTGGAGAAGTCCTGGAGGCGGGCGTGGGAGGAGGAGACCAGGGAACTAGAGAGAAGGAGGTCTTGTGAGGAGCGGAGTGTGCATGTTGGGTGGTACTTGGATATTAGGTCAGTGATGTAGTTCGGGGCAGTATGGTGGACAGCTTTGTACGTCAGTGTTAGGATTTTGAATTTGATCCGTTGCGCAATCGGAAGCCAGTGGAGGGATTGGCAGAGGGGGGTGGCGGAGATGGAGCGGTTGGAAAGGTGAATGAGTCTGGCTGCCGTATTCAGGATGGACTGAAGCGGGGATAGCCAGCGGCGAGGCAGGCCAGTGAGGAGGGAGTTGCAGTAGTCGAGTCGTGATATGATGAGGGAGTGGATGAGCTGTGTTTAGTGGTTTCTGGGGTTAGGAACGTGCGGATTTTGGCGATGTTGCGGAGGTGGAGTCTGCACGAGTTTGTTAAAGATTGGACTTGGGGCTGGAAGGATAGGTTGGAGTCCAGAATGACACCAAGTACTCTGGCCTGCAGGGCGGGTTTGATATTGGCGTTGTTGGATGTGATGGAGAAGTCATCACATTTTCAGATGGGCAGTGAACATTGCTGCACATGTAAAGAAGCCTTTGGAGCAAAAAATTGCATTTGTATGTATAATATGATGAGATTTAAGAGTGCTTGAAAATATGGAGGCGTAACGTGAGTCTGTATACCAGAAATTGTGAATCCCTGATGTATGGTGGGATTAGTGTAGAGCAGTGTTTCTCAAACTTTTACCCCAGAGGAACCCTTGAAATAATTTTCAGGTCTAGGGGAACTCTTGTTAAGACCAATTCATTAGAGGTCGGTGGGAAAAATACTCCTTCTATTTGTGGCTAGCGGGAAGAATGTCTCCCCTTGCAGTGTTCATCAAAGTGCTACCCTTACAGATCAATGACGTCAGGTAGCTGACTCTGCCAAGTGGTGTTGGCCTCAGAACTATGAAGGCAACATCAAATGGAACGTCAATTCCAGCTCAAGGACCCCTTAACAACCACTGAAGGAACCCTAGGGTTCCATGGATTCCTGGTTGGGAATGGGTGATCAGAATGATTATTTGTGCCATGCCACAGGTTCTGCCAAGTGGTGTTGGCCCTAAAACTATGCAGGCATCTTCAGATGGGAGGTCAATTCATCATAGCTCAAGGAACCCTTGGCAACCTCTAGAGGAATCTTGGGGGGGAATGGCTGATCAGAAGGATTATTGGTGTGATACCACTGGTTTACCAAATGGTGTTAGCCCAGAACTATGCAGGCACCAGCAAAAATTCATTGGTGTTATGGTGCTGGCTTGGCCAAGTGGAGTTGGAGCCAAAACTAGGTAGGCACCATCAGATGGGAGGTCAATTAGTCACAACTCAAGGAAACTCTATCACCCTCTGGAGGAAGCTTAGGACTCTATGGAGCCCTGGTTGAGAATAGCTGGTGTAGAGTTCCCCCATGGTACGGTATGGTATTTTATGATACAGTTACCATGTGTGTTTCCGTACAGAAGGGGATTATGGCAAAGAAAGCAATGACAAGTGGCTGTAACGTTTAGTGTTTTGTGGCAATGTTCCAGTGACTGCACTGAGATAATGTATTGAACTATTTAAGGATTGTTCATTTAAATGAATATCTGAACCATTGCAATGGAACTTGTTGCCCTGTCATTTCTAGCCTTGCTTTGTAAAACATCAGGTGGCCTAAATGAACATTTAACTCCTTTGCTGGCCCTGCCCTGTTAAGAGGCAAATGTTCATTCAGAATTAGGAAAAAATAGATCTGTGGGGAGCTGAGGAAGAAATTACTTGAGTCATTGTTGAAAACTCAGAATGATTCATGGGAACTTGTATAAAGAACAGCAACACCTTAACGTGTTACCAAACCACAATACTAAAATCAGTCTGTATATGCAGTAAAGTATGCTTCTTATACTCACCTAAGGGGTTAATCCTCCACATTGTGTAAAAAGGCTGTTTGATCTTGTCTTCTCTGATTCTCCCCTTCTTTTATTGTCCCCAATCCATCTGCTATAGAACAGAACAGCAGGGGCAAGTCGGCACATGCTCTGTTTGGTGTGTATTGCTAGATAGGCTTATTTTTTATTTTAGGAGGGTGCATGTGATCAGCACAGGGCCCATCAGCACTGCCCAGACAAAGGGTAAGGGGTCATGCAGCCTCATAGGACAGTCAGGGAAGAATGAAAACTCCTCCTACAAGCTTTAACCAGTACTCAGCTGAACACTGATAGAAGTCACAAGACTGCTATATACTGCTGATAAGAATAGCTATGCAGTAAAGTATGCTTCTTATACTCATCTAAGGGGTTAATCCTCCACATTGTGTAAAAAGGCTGTTTGATCTTGTCTTTTCTGATTTTCCCCTTCTTTTACTGTCCCAAATCCATCTGCTATAGTACAGAACAGCAGGGGCAAGTCTGCACATGCTCTGTTTGGTGTGTATTGCTAGATAGGCTTATTTTTTCTTTTAGGAGGGTGCATGTGATCAGCACAGGGCCCATCAGCACTGCCCAGACAGAGAGTAAGGGGTCATGCAGCCTCATAGGACAGTCAGGGAAGAATGAAAACTCCTCCTACAAGCTTTAACCAGTACTCAGCTGAACACTGATAGAAGTCACAAGACTGCTATATACTGCTGATAAGAATAGCTATTTATGTTTACTAACATAATTGCATTTCCATGATCTGTGTACTGTGGAAGACCGGATATAGTGAATGCAGGGTCCTGGGTTTAGAAACACTTTAAGGACTCGTTCACATGTCTGGCTACTACTGCTGCCCCTCTAAAAAGCAGTCTGTAAACCAAGGTACCACTTTACGCCTGTTCATAGTAGATATACTGACCAGGCAGCGGGTGCAGGTTCAGCAACATCAAATGTTGCCGGCTTGCTTCTGGGTTTAGGGCATGCATGCGCACGCCCCCTGCTGATACGTGCTGTGGTTGGACACAGTGCCTTTTTCGTTAGCAGGTGTCAGCCAATGATTTATGGCTAAGACCTGTTGATTGGCTGTGTCCAATCACAGTACAGAGTTCTGTGTTTACAAACACACATGACTCTGTACACAGAGCAGCAATCTGGCTGTTTCTTCTCCCTGAACAGCAGGGAGAAAAAAACAGCCAGATCTTAGTAAAGGCAGCACATATTACACACATCACACTTGTTAGGCACACAGTTTACCCCTTGATTGCCGCTTGATGTTGACCCCTTCACAGCAAGTGTCATTGGTATTATATCTGATCACTGTATTAGTGCCACTAGTGATGTCAGTCAGTTAGTTTACCTCCCAGCCAGTGTCTTAGTGCCAGATTGCCCGCCACACTATCGCAGTCCAACTATAAGTCGCTGATCATCGCCATTACCTGTATAGCGTCATAGCTGCTTAAATTCCAGTATATATACCATAGTTTGTAGACTGTATAACTTTCACAGAAACCAATTAATATACACTTATTGGGATTTTTTTGTTTTACCAAAGACAGAATACATTTTGGCCTAAATTTGTGAAGCAATTTGATTTTTGATTGGATATATTTTATAACAGAAAGTAGAAAAACATTTTTTTTTTTCAAATTTTATGTATTTTTTTTCGTTTATGTAATAAAAAATAATAAACCCAGTGGTGATCAAATACCACCAAAAGAAATCTCTATTTGTGTGAAAAAATGATATACATTTCATTTGTGAACAGTGTCACATGGCCGAGCAATTGCCAGTTAAAATAGCGTAGTGCTGAATAGTAAAAAATGCCCTGGCAATAAGGGGAATAAAACCTTTCCGGAGGAAAAACTTTTTTCTTTCAACATTGTTCGTCTTTTTCTCCTTTTATAGTAGTAAAAAAAAAAAATTCAGTGGTTATCAAATACCAACAAAAGTAAGCTAAAAAAAGATATAAAATTCATTTGGATACAGTGTTACACAATGGAGTAACTGTCGGTCAAACTATCACAGCAAAAATGGCCTGGACAGGAAAAGGGTGGAACATTATTATTATAGGTACTTGTATAGCGCCGTCAATTTACACAGCACTTTACATATATATTATACATTCACATCAGTCCCTAACCCTCAAGGGGCGTACAATCTAAGGTCCCTAACCCTCAAGGGGTGTACAATCTAAGGTCCCTAACCCTCAAGGGGCGTACAATCTAAGGTCCCTAACTTATATTCATACACATCTATCTATTCAGTCGTATCTGACCCTTGGCAATTGCATGGACTGTCACTCGTAAGCGACTTTTTTCCATGAATTCTCTTAGCAATTATTTTACAGGATAGGTTGCCAGGTCTTTCCCCAACCCCCACCATGGAGGAGGTCCCGCATGGCCAGGGATGAAGCTAGGACAATTTAGACAGGAGCCAATTAACCTACCAGCATGTCTTTGGAGTGTAAAAGGAAACCGGAGTACCTGGAGGAAACCCACGTGAACACAGGGAGAACATGCAAGAGGCACCATGGTTGGGAATTGAACCCATGACCAGGGGCGGACTGACAACTCATGGGGCCCCCGGGCAATAGGGGATCATGGAGCCCCTGTGTCCTTGCCCAAACTCAAAAAAGCCTATGAAAAAGGTACCAGGGGCATCTCATGGGGCCCCCTACTGACCCCAGGCCCTCGGGCAGTGCCCGAGTTTCCAAATGGTCAGTCCACCCCCTGCCCATGACCCAATTACTGCAAGGCAGAAGTGCTAGCCACTAAGCCGCCCACATACACATAGTAGGGCCAACTTATACAGGGGCCAATTAAACTACCAGCATGTCTTTGGAGTGTGGAAGGAAACCCGGGTACCTGGAGGAAACCCATACGAACACAGGAAGAACATGCAAACTCCATGCAGGAGGTGCCATGGTTGGGAATTAAACCCATGACCCAATTACTGCAAGGCAGAAGTGCTAACCACTAAGCCGCCCACATACACATACTAGGGCCAATTAACCTACCAGCATGTCTTTGGAGTATGGGAGGAAACCTATGCGAACACAGGAAGAACATGCAAACTCCATGCAGGAGGTGCCATGGTTGGGAATTAAACCCATGACCCAAAAACTGCAAGGCAGAAGTGCTAGCCACTAAACCACTGTGCCGCCCACATACACATACTAGGGCCAACTTAGACAGGAGCCAATTAACCTACCAGCATGTCTTTGGAGGGTGTTAGGAAACTGGAGTACCAGGAGGAAACCCACGCAGGCACAGGGAGAACATGCATACTCCAGGCAGGAGGTGCCATGGTTGGGAATTAAACCCATGACCCAATTTCTGCAAGGCAGAAGTGCTAGCCACTAAGCCGCCCACGTACACATACTAGGCCAATTAACCTACCAGCATGTCTTTGGAGTATGGGAGGAAACCTATGCGAACACAGGAAGAACATGCAAACTCCATGCAGGAGGTGCCATGGTTGGGAATTAAACCCATGACCCAAAAACTGCAAGGCAAAAGTGCTAGCCACTAAGCCACTGTGCCGCCCACATACACATACTAGGGCCAACTTAGACAGGAGCCAATTAACCTACCAGCATGTCTTTGGAGGGTGTTAGGAAACTGGAGTACCAGGAGGAAACCCACGCAGGCACAGGGAGAACATACAAACTCCAGGCAGGTGGTGCTGTGGTCGGGATACGAACCAACAACCCCTAGTGCTGCCAGGTGGAAGTGCTAACCACTTAGCCACTGTGCTGCCCATGAACATGCCAGGTCTCAAGTGGTTAAAGGTGGCGGAGGTCAGGAGCGTGCATTTGACAGGCTAGCAATTATGAACAGAAGACAAATTACGCTAGAGCAACATTATTGTTATTATTTTTTTTTTATTAAGCACAAAATGATTGTGAAAGACGCGAGTAGGCCCGGTTCCACCTGCCTTGCTGCGACATTGTTTGAAGTGCACTGATGAGTTACGATGGGTGTGAACCACAGAAGCAGCCGAGCTGAACAATCCTCCTTTGAATATAATCGCACTATTGAAAGCAACACACCTTGACATGCCCTGCGGTGTCTCATCCAGCAGCCTTCTCTGGGAAACAAGCAGAGAGAGAGGCTGGTCCCGGCCATACCGGCACAGATTATAGGACGAGGACATGACTCAGTGCAACATATCAGCACACCTTTGTTCAACTCCAGCGTACAAAGGGCGTGATCGCAGGAGTATCAACTGTAACTGTTACTCCAGAGTTCAGCAAATTTACAGGAATGTGACAGGTTACCCATTAACCCCAGAGTTAATATTGATTTATGTTTTGCCGACAACAGGGCTATATCTGAACCTTGGCTGCAGTCACAGGGTTGTATATTGATTTTCCTTTCCTTTGATACAGTTCACTGGCAGAAGAGAACGCAGCTGGGAAGAAGGACAGCTGACTGACGCTGTGCGCATTGTCAGCGACTGTCTAAACACACACATATATATATTTGGAAAGTGCAAGAATGAAACAAAAGTGCAGATAGCTATACAATAGACCATTCTTTAAAAAAAAAAAAAAAAAAAAATCCCATTTTATTTTTAACTGCTAAAAGCCTTTATTTAGACACTTCTGTCACAGGTCTAACCTCCTTATAAGTAATTCTCCGTACACACGATAAGAAACTTTTGCGGAACCGCTGATCGAACGATTTTCTCTTCGTTGAGGAGCAGGATCTTGTAGCCTCCCTGGTGATATTCCCGAGTGTAGCTCGGGGTAAAGTTTCAGTACCACAAGCGGTAACCCCGAGCTACACTCAGGAATACCATGCAGCGCTGCTCCGGGATCTGTTCTTCTCTTACCTTGTCCTGCGATCCCGCGATGTCCCCCCTGCAGTGTCCCCTGTAATGTTCTCCAGCGGATGCCGGCATCTGTCTTCTGGGTAACGCCCCCTGCGACGTCGGGACGTACGGGGGATGGAACGGCGGGAAATTTGAAAATGACAAAAAGTGACAATCACTAAAATCACATAGTAAAACATTCCTCTATCAACCCATTTCACGTACATTTTGTCCCGAGTGCTTTGTCCGGCGCCCTGCCTGCATTTTTACTGTTCTTTCTGCCTGGAAACTGAGAAACGTCCATGGCGTCCAAAAAGTGTCCCTTTAGGTCAAAAGTGGTTTTAGACCGGCTAGAGAACAGCGATAGTAAATCAGAACCACTTGCAGAATTGAGTGATAATGATTCGTGGGGAAATTCGTCATCAGACACTGAAAACGATTTTGCGACTTTGCTCAGTGATGTGCGAACTTGGCGCTATATTTCACATTTCAGTGTTTTTGGTTTGATTATATTATTTAACAGGGGCGGACTGACCATTTGGAAACTCGGGCACTGCCTGAGGGCCCGGGGTCAGTAGGGGGCCCCATGAGATGCCCCTGGTACCTTGTTCATAGGCTTTTTTTGAGTTTGGACAAGGACACAGGGGCCCCATGATCCCCTATTGCCCGGGGGCCCCATGAGTTGTCAGTCCGCCCCTGTTATTTAATTCAATTTATTATTATTATATTATTATTTTTTTATGATTATTTATTAAATTATAATTTATGATTTCGTATTTCAAATTTTATTATACCCGGAATGTTTACTAGACTCTTGTTCGGACAGATTTCAGTGAGTTATTCCTAAAAATTACAGGCCTACAATAAAAAAAATACATATTTCCATGCAAAAAAATGTACCGCTTTGAGCACAGAAATATGGACATAATC